AGCAGCAGCAGCAGCAGCAGCAGCGACGTCGACGCCAGCGTCGCTGCTCGCACTTGTTCAGGCATGCATGTCCGTTGTCTGGCCACAGCCACGCCCGAAAGCCCCGTCCCCGTCCCCGCCCCTTAGCCCCACACTCGCTGACTGTGGCTGATTTTATTTTTAACATAAATTGCATTCAAAATACCTTGCACTTTGCTTAGATTAGCTATTTTTATTGGAATTGCACAATTTTGTTGTTGTCGTTTAATGCTTAAGCATAAAAAAGTCAAAATAAACAATTAAGTTGTTATCTGAGAGTGGCCGAAGAGAAGATACCCTGTAGCCAGCTCCACACTGAGCTTCTGCGCGAAAATTGTATTCTTAAAATTACTTTTGGGCATATTTTCCTGCAGTTAAGAAAGGTGCTTTCAGATGACATTCAATTGCCTATATACAATAACAGATTTTGAAATAAGAAATATTTACATTTTTGAAGCGAAATATACGTTCAAAATAAATGAGTCCAAATCCATTCGATTATCCGGAAAAAAACTACCAGTGTGCATTTCAGATTCTTTCATATTTAAGCAAATCGTATATTGTTATAGTAATTAAAGTTTTGTTAGTATTGTTACTTGCAAGATTTGAAGGTGATTGCAGTTTATCACTTGCTCGCATAAATTGTTGCATTCCATATACAAAAGCATTTCTGCACATTTCTCGAAGATCTGACCCAGAAAATCCAGTTGTAAGTTTAGCCAAATGATTATAATCAACATTGTGATCGATTTCTTCAGTTGCTAATATTAGTTTAAGAATTTGCATTCTTTGAGCTTCGGATGGAGGACTTTTGTGAAGACTTTCTTATCTTATTGGGCTGGCATTATACGTATAATAAATAGCCTTGTCGAGATCCTGAGCACTCATACTTAGCCAATCCCATAGCATCATGAACTGAGTTTCCATCATTCCCTTGGCCTGATGATCATTCGAGTTACGTGCTTTGAAACAGTGCCACATTCCAAACTAGGTAGGTTCCATAGTCTCTTATTATATATAATTATATATATTTTATATAATACAATATCTTGTGCAATTAAAGCCGTGTGATATGTGTCCAAAATTGTATGCGCTCAATCATCGCGATGATTCACCGGCATTCGTGACATGCGATGACGTTCTATAGAAATTTATCACATTTAAAAAATTATCATATACATATATATATATATATTTTTTTCTCCCCATAAATGGGCGCTGTGCTGAAAAAGCGCGATGTTTCCGCACTCAACCTCATATACATATATATAAAGCCCCACTTATATGGCCATTTGGCGCTTTGCAGCTCGCTAATAGATTGATCAAATATTACGTACAGTTGCGGCGGCCCAGTTGTATTAAGGTGTTAATGGAATCATCTAGATAATTAATCGACAATCAATCTTTATGTGGCTTCAATTAAGTGAAATGTTATTGTAAAATGTGTCTTAATTGCACTAGATTATTGCCTCGCTCGTGATGGGCTCTTTTCTTTTCGATAGTTTTAGAGCCAGATTTATAGCATATAGCATATTAGAAATTATTATTATTATTATATATATACTAGGGAATACCCTGAACCCTCTTATTCCAACACCAAACGCAGTTATTGCATTGATGTTTTCGCTAGCTGTCCATCCAATTGGGCAGTTACATATAACTTTGGTTTTTTCTTAACCGATCTTAATGAAATTTTGTACAGTATATCTTATTGTACCATAGAATATTTGTGTATTCTGAAAAAGTCAATTGCATTTAAATTGTGGATTAAATGGGTTGGCAATATAAGTTGGGTTATTAACTTGACTTATAGCTCTGGGGGGAGGTGGCGATAGGTATGAAATGAAAGATACTTGATACGTACCAAAATTGCTCAAAAAACAGTTTGTCGATATCGATTTACATCGATTGCTCGGAAACGGAGTAAGTTATCGATTATCGGAAACAAACTCGATCTGCGCAGGCACTACAATTTCAGGACTCTAGCTCTTACATGTTCTGAGATCCTTGCGTTCATACAGAGGGACAGACGGACGGACGGACAGACAGACGGACATGGCTAGATCGACTCGGCTATTGATGCTGATCAAGAATATACATACATTATGGGGTCGGAGATGTTTCCTTCTGCCTGTTACATACATTTGCATTTTGCATAAATACAATACCCTTTTACCCTATTTTAATGGGTTCAGTGTATAATTAGAATTGGTTGATTTTCATACCAGTTAAACTGTTTAAACTGTTGTATAAATGGAATATCTATAAATATGTTATCGAATTATCGATAGTCCCCAAGCAAATATCGATTAACCCACCATCGATCGAACGCACCAAAACCTTAAAAAACTTTCGAAATGATCGATAGATATCGCAACTAAACAACAATCGATAGTTTAATTGTCTCCCTTGCCCGTTTAAGAAATTCTTCATTTCGAACTTAAACTTGTAAACTTTATTGACGCCTCTCGGTCTCGTGCTCATGTACTCCTGTACTCATCGATGCTCATTTCGACGACTTTTCCACTGAACTGTGCCATTTTCAGGAAATATGTTGTCACATCTCGAACGAAGCTCGTTGTTATCTCCTGTAATTTCTTATCCGTAAGCAGGGCCTGATAGTCGTCATTGCTGAGGCCCGTCTCCTCCTGCCTGTTGAGCAGCAGCGGCGATTTGTTGAACTGCCACAAGGGTTATCAATAAGTTAGGGTATAACTGGTAAGGAGTATATGGCTTGGCATACCTGCTCGAATATGTTCAGCCACATGGCATCCTTTTTGTCCAGCTCCTTCTCGGCTATCGCCTCGTTCAGTCGGGTCACGTACAGCTCAATGTCACGTGCACGCTTCGTGCTCGGCGCCAGCTTGTCCCGCACACCGCTAAAGTAGGCGATTTGTGCACGGAATAGAGCATTCAGCAGGTTGATAGTCTCATTGTGCGCCTCCTGTTCCAGCTGTTTCTGTGTCAGATCACCTGGCTTGTTGGCCGCTGTGGCGCTATCTGCTGTAGGCGCCGCCAGCAGGCACTGCAACTGCACAAGTTATGGGGAAGCGTTCTATTTGGTTAGATCTGACAGCTCACCTGTGCCATGAGCAATATTAATGGAAAGTATTTAAATAGCATTTCTCTAGCGAATTCTCTCTGCGTTGCGGCTTGAGCAGGCGATTGTTAAGTTGGTACTGAGCTGGCATAAGAAATCTGATGATTGAATGCTCCGAGACCTGCTGCTTATCAGCTCGCTGTGGGTCTCTGTAAGGCTCAGAAATGTCTATAAAAATAAATATGTATGTGCATAGACCTATAGAGATTTGCTGACTGAGAGATACCATAGGATTTTCGTAGGAAATAATCTTTGGGGAATGTTCTTAAAAATTAGGTTGGTACTTAGATGCTAACTTTTGAAGTATACATATGTGTGTACATACATATATACAAAATATCATCATTCAAAATATCATCATTCAAAGTTTAATTTGTAAATATAGTTTATAATTAATAAACATACTCTATAAAGACACAAAAAGATTTCCAGTTTAAAATGTTAGCAGATTTTCTCTATTTATAGACCAGGTTTAATTCCTTTAAATAAATTTTTAATAATTATTATGTGCTATATTTTCTAATTATATTAAAAATATAAAAATGTTAAGAGTATGCAATGTAATATTGATAAGGAACTTCTCAACGCACCGTTATCTTGATAATATTTATTTCTAATTAGATGCGAGCATCACACTATTTTTGTGCTCGGAATTGCGCCGCAGCCGTTTGAAATTATTAATTAATTTAATGTGAATAACGGCACGTTTTTCTCCTTGTTGTTACTGTTGGTGTTGTACTGCCACATCGAGCGACGGCGTGAGATCTTTCAAGGCTAGTCCCTGCCCTCGCGTGGGCCGACTGTTTTTCCCTATCTGATAAGGCAATGCAAAACTAGAGGCAAAAAATGTGCTGATTGGGTGGAGGCAAAAAAGTGTGACTGTAGGAACTAAATATATTTAAATAGCTGCGCTTAAAAGTATGCATTGCGACCTGAGGGAAATTTTCAAAATATTTCCCTGTGGATTGTTCAAAGGGGGGACTTTGACATATCCATAGCACTCGTTTTTTTCCTTGTTTTTGCTATTGTTGTTTTTCTGCCTCAGACGATCACCGGCGTGAGATCTTTCAAGGCTTCTCTCGCGTGGGCCGACTGTTTAGCCCTTTCTGATAAGACAATGCAAAACTAGTGGGAAAAAATGTACTGTGGTGCTGGGTGGTGGCAAAAAAGTGTGACTGTGGGAACTAAATATATTTAAATTGCGGCGCTTAAAAGTATGCATTATAACCTGAGGGAAATTCCCAAATTCCCAATGGGGAAGTTTGACAAATCTATAGCACACGTCAGTAAGTGTAATGTATTTATTGTATTATTATAAGTGTAGTACATGAATTTAGCAAATTCAGTTAATTTGTCTCCTTAGTTAGTCGATTCAAAAGCGACTCTTCTAAAAATATTGGTAGTGAAAAAATTGTTGCCTACTGTGCGGCGGCCAATAAAAGTCTCCACACTTTGCCGCGCTAGTTTGGAGTGTGTTCATGAACCCAACTTAAAAATTTATTGGCAGAACTTTTTTATCTCGCATAGTCTAAACATATTTAAATAAAAAATGAAAATAATTAATTTTTTATAAAATCGATTTATATTAAAATATCTATTGAATTATGGGAACTTAAATTAAGACCTATCATCATTGTATATTTATTTTTATTCTTTTATCAAATTATGTAAACGATAACATTGCAATCTAGCAATTGAAATTATTGTTACATTTAAGAATATATGTGGACTTCAATCAAAATCGAATACGTACAAGAAACAACCAAAATAGGAGCGAGGGAAATTTGATTATAACTTGTTAAGCAAAAGTGATTAGATTATTGCATTTTACGCTTGTTTTTTTTGTCAATTAAATTTTTTCAAGCATACAAATATTATAACGCAAATAACTTCATTTCCATCATTTTTTTATTGCACACCTGTCTAAAGTCGAACCTCTATTTGCCGCCACCGCCAATGAGGTCTAGAATATCCCTAATGGATCGATCGCCAATCAGATCATTGCAAATGGGCGTTACTGTGCTGTCCACCCAATCAGCGAAAAAGTCCGTATTTTCATTGATAGTTAGGCTGATGAACTCCTCGACAACGTCGTTGAGTTTGCGATTCAGAATGCGATACTTGGATAGATTCTCAATATTGGAGACCACATTGCCCGCCACTAAATTAAGCTGGATTTGCTTGATGCGCAAATTATTGCTGCTGCCCACCACTCCCGTGGCGTACTTAATCTGGCCGGATACATTCAGATCCTCGAGAGCCAAAAAAGCGCCACCATTACGGGCCATTTGATACCCGGCGTCCACTTCCGCCTCGTACTGTGTGGTTAGGTTCAAGCTAGCAAAATGGAACTCAAACTTTATGTTGCTCAAGAGGAGATTCGCACTCATAACGCGTATCTCAAACTCGTTCAATCCCCTCACGACTAGGCCATCCAGAGCGCCAGTGGCGTGCAGCTCACCCGTCCCAAAGTCGAAACGCTTGTGCGGGATCTCCAGCGGTGCGAGCGGTGGTATGCCATATTGTGGCCAGCCCTCCACCATATGCAGCTTGCACGACTCCAAAGTATCCACAATTATGCTGCTTACAGAGCGCGACTGAGCTAGAATTTCAGAAATTATGGAACGTTTTATTTATTTATCATTTGATAATTATTACCAGCCAAAGGTTCGGACACTTCGGCTCCTTGACAAGCGGCCAGGGCCAAGATAATCGCAACTAGCGAAAAAGACTTCATATTTTATTTGTTTGAAACTTTTAGCTGCCAGCACCAGATTCAGATTCTAACTGCGCGACCATATAACGCAGCCAACGCACTTATATAGAACTTGAACGTCACTTGATAATAACTATATGTATAATACATGTCCAACTACTATGGTTCACAGTGTCTATAATAGCTCTATAATTTGCCAAATATTTTTATATGCGATTATTGACAATCAGTTGATAAGTTGAGATTAGCCGCTAGCCATAAAGAGACCTCCAGCGAGAAAGCAACAAAGAACAATTTATAAATTGGCTTAAAGCTTTTAAGAGCTTTTAATATAGTTAATCATATTACTAACCATTTATTCATAAATATATTGTTAAGTTAATATGAATGGAAGGTTTTTTTTGTGTGCTCTGCATTTGTAAATGTAATTGCATGAAACTCGAATATCCAACTATTCAAAAGAATCCAAGAACCAAGAACCAAGTTCTAAATGATCGAGTCTGCAACATGTTCGAGCTAAGCGGAAAACGTTTTTATACCCTTGCAGATGGTATTATAATTTTGTCGTGAAATGTGTAACGCATAGAACGAGACATCTCCGACTCCATAAAGAATATATATATTCTTCATCAGCATCAACAGCCATGTCCGTCTGTCTGTTTCTATGCGAACTAGTCTCTCAGTTTTAAAGCTATCTTAATGAAATTTTGCAGAAGTCTGTCTTTCTGTTGCACGCAGCACCAGCACCGCAGCACCAGCTGGATCGGACCACTATATCATATAGCTGCCATAGGAACGATCGGTCGAAAATTAAGTTGTTGTATAAAAAAACATTTTGTTCATCAAGATATCCTGCCCAAACTCGGCATTAAGTATTTTCCCTGTGCTTCGTAGATACGGACAAAGCACTATAAGCATTATGAAAAGGTTGGGTCTGCAAGGGTATTAGATCTTCGGCGTGCCGAAGATAGCCTTTCTCTCTCGTTTTTTGTTTAAGTTGACCGAAAAGCTCGAGCCAAAAAAATTGTTCGAGTACCCGAAACTCCTTTCGGCTCACTTGATGCAGGGATCTAATACGAATCTCAAAAAAGATAAGAACTTTGGGTAGTGTAATTAAAAGCTGTTTAAAAAAGGTGTTCTAAGTGATTAGATAAACGCATTTTACGATTGTTTTTCTTTTCAATGAGCTTTTTGGGCAAAACATTTTCGGACTTAGATTGACTTAACTATAATAAAAAGCTGAATTTTACAATTCTTTTTATTGCACGCCTGCTGAAAAGTTAACCTCTATTCGCTGCCACCGCCGATGAGATCTAGAATATCCTTAATGGAACGATCGCCAATCAGATCATTGCAAATGGGCGTTACTGTGCTGTCCACCCAATCAGCGAAAAAGTCCGTATTTTCATTAATAGTTAGGCTGATGAACTCCTCGACAATCTCGTTGAGTTTGCGATTCAGAATGCGATACTTGGATAGATTCTCGATATTGGAGACCACATTGCCCGCCACTATATTGAGCTCGATTCCCTTGATGCGCAAATTATTGCTGCTGCCCACCACTCCCGTGGAGTATTTAATCTGGCCGGACATGTTCAGATCTTCCAGAGCCAAAAAGGCGCCACCACCACGCGCCATATGATAACCGGCCTCCACATCCGCCTCATACTGAGTGGTTAGGTTCAAGCTGGCAAAATGCAACTCAAACTTAATGCGACTTAGTATGAGATTCACACTCATAGTGCGTATTTCAAACTCGTTCAACCCTCTCACAACCAGGCCATCCAGAGCGCCGGTGGCGTGTAGCTCGCCCGTCCCAAAGTTGAAATCCTTGTGCTGGATCTCGAAAGGCGCAAGCGGTGGTATGCCATATTGTGGCCAACCTTCCACCATACCAAGCTTGCACGACTCCAGAACATCCACAATTATGTTATCAATAGCATTTAGCGGTGCTGGAATATCTGAAGAAATTGACTTGGCATCATAAACCAAATTCTATTTAATAATCTTTGCTTTATGCTTACCAGACGGAGGCTCGACCAATGTAGCTGCCTGACAGCCGGCTAGGGCCAAGATAATCGCGACCAGCGACAGAGACTTCATTTTCCTTAAACGTCCAGCCGAGAACCCCAGAGTCTAATTGCGAACCCATCTAAGCTGGTCAAACATTTATATAGCACTCGAAAGTCTCGTAATAAAAAGAATAAGTATAGCACGTGTAGAAATAATGCTTATGTAGTCTATAATCGCTATAAAATTTGGCAAATACCTCCATATGCGATTATTGACTGATAAGTCGCAACAACCTGAGATTAGCAGCTGACCATAAAGGGACCTCCGACTAAAAAGTATATAGACTACAAACAAATAGGCTAAAAGCTTGCGAGCTTTTACGCCAAAGCTTTTACAGTAAAGCTACGTTAAAATGAAATTAATCCAGTTTAAAACTTGTAAGCTGAAGTATTCAGAATTTTCATTTTTATTCTGAGTTAAAATATAATTATTATTCTGGATTTAAAAATTAAAATAAACAATGGTCAAAGAAAGTTTTCTTTCAAAAAAGCTATAGATTAGATTGTCCACAATTAATTTTCAAACCATTAATAAACCCTTTTTTTTTGTTAATTCTCCAAAATAGAATTTTCTCAAATTATTATTCTAATATTGCTTTCGGATTTTCTAAAATAGTTTCTCTAATAAGGAAATAGCTGGGTTTCTGCTAAAACTAACTTTAGATATGCAACATAATTTCTTACTTTGAGCTTAAAATTAAGTCAAAAATAAGTTAATATGGGAATCAACGATTGTGATAAGATGAAGACATAAAATTAGTCAAAGATAATTCCAAACATGAGTGTAAATATATATATGATTTATACCAAATTGATCAAAGCATTAGATACACATTTTAGCTTTTTAACAGCATTTAAATAAAACAATATGTATTTATTTTGTTTTTAAAAGAAACTTTTAATCAAATACGAAGCGTTCACATTGTTTACCAGTCCAACTCTGGGGGAATGCAGACCTCCTTCTCGCCACCCTCACCGCCGGCGATGACATCGGTGATGTTGACATCATCCAAAACGTTGTTGACCACGGGCAGGGCAACCTGCTCGATGGTTTCGGCAATTAGATCCTCGTTCTCATTGATGACCATCTCGACGGCCTCGGCGAGATATTCGTTCATCTTCACGTTCACAGTGCCGTCGCCGAGTAGACCCTCGATTTCGGAGTCAACCTCACCCAAATGGGTGCGCACCTCCAGAGACTTGAGGCTCAGTTTGCCGGAGAGCATGCCCAGGGAGTATTTCATGGTGCCCCAAATGACCATATCCTTGATGGCAAACTTGGCGTGACCGGCACCAATCATTTTGATGGTGAAGCCGTATTTCTTCAGCTGCATCTCCATGTCATAGGTGGTATCCACATTGACATCACGGAAGTTGAACTTGTAGGTGACCTTGCTGGTAATTGCATTCACCTTCATCTCATCAATGTCGAATTCGTTTAGACCATTTAGACGGAAATGATCCACACTGCCCTTCATCTTCACGGCATCCGTGTCGATGTCGATATTCTTGTGATTGATTCTGAGTGGTGCAATTGGTGGAATGCCGGCACCGGGGAAACCACAAGGCATCTGCTCCTTCACACCCTCAATCACATCAACAACCGTGCTGGAGATGGACGTCTTATCTGATTGGGTTTACGTATTGGAAAATTATTGAAATTTTCACACCCATCTCAATGTACTCACCAATTGCCTCGCCCACAGCAGCAGCATTTGCGCAGGCAACGAGTGCCAGTAGAGCCACAAAGAGTTTCATATTTATTTGCCTCTTAACACGTATAAAGACTGGAGGTAATGCCAACCGTATTTATACTAATCGTACGCTTCTACTTCCAGCCGGCTTTTATAGACCCGTCTGCTAGTTGGGGCGCGATAAGAGCTACCGGGCTTGATAATTTTATAAACAAAGGCAATTATGGATTGGTCCCTACATTGCTGTCTTATCTGATGATTTTTTGACCAAATCGTTGTGCGAAAAAAATCCATTTTTAATTAAATGCCTAAATGCCAGTTTCCATTCTATATAACACTTGGAAGAAAGGTGAAATGAGGGTTAAGTTATAAAAAGAAATATGCCTGATTTTGATGTGAATAGTATTTAAGTTAGAAGTCGGTTTCGGGACCTTAACCAAGTCTTATCATTTTGCTGCCTGGAAAGGGTTTCTTATCGTTTTGGTAGCTCTGATCTTCCACTTATCCTTTAAACCCAAGTCAAGTGCAAAGTTCTGTTTTGTGATTTATAATATAAGTTTTATGAACAGAATTTAAGATGGATTAGGCGGAAGACTTGATTGTGATTTATAATCTTATTTTTGCCCACTTGTTGAAACATTTATTAATAGATTTTAAGATGGCTCGGCTGGCATATTTGTCGCCGGTGCGACTCTTTAATGCGCTATAATCAAATGTACTTATATATTCCGTTTTCTTTATCAACTAGATATGTAACTTCGTAGGAAATAGTCAAGGAAGTTTTTAAAACGCGGTTTGTCTCTGCATCGTTGGCTCGACAGTCTAAGGTTAAGTCTATAAGAAGTCTGAAAGACAGAAAGTAATTTTCCTATCAAGCTAAACCTAAAGTTGCTTAAGATTGGCGCAATAGATTAATAGACAGTTGGGAACATAATAGAATAGAAAATAAAGCATCTATGCAATCTAAGCTTAGAGACTGTTAAAACTTATGCGAATAGAAAATAATAATTCATGTATGCCAGGACTAAATGGAATCCCGAGGAATTAGATGATAGTCTATATAAACTGATGATCGTACGGAAATGGAAGAACATTTTCTCTATTCTTTTTGTTGTTAGTTACTGATTTTGCTTTTTAGTATGATGTGATTAAGGTAAATAAAGAAAAGTTATCGCTATAATATATAGTTACTAATATTTAATACGGACTTGCTGATGAAAATCCAAGGTATTTCTTGGGTCTCAAAAGGTTGCAAGGTCAAAAAGAATACATATCAATATTTTCTGTGCCTTATGTAAGTTGCGCGTGATTTGATCGTCGCAAACAACAGGCCATTGTGTTTTGTCTGTGGGGTATCTGAAACACCTGCAGGAGGTATTTTAGAACACCTGCAAATAATGCGCTGAATTTGACTGGGGCAAACAGAAATGATGGCTGTCACATATTTATTTGAAAATAAATCATAGCGACAACTCGATTGGGCAATTGGATGTCAAGATTACGATTTAAGTGTTTTGCACTTCTTACAACCCCCTATATATAACGATGAGGCGATTACCGTCTCACCAAATAAGAAGCTCAAGAGCTTGATATAAATTATTATTGAAATTATCATCAAAAGTATCGTGCAAATAGACTGGCTAATCTCTGGCTAGATTACATGCGAGCTTTGTGCTGCGTATGGTTAAAAATAGGTAATACCCATCCAGATTTTAGTTGGTGTAAACTGCGGCTATAAAAGCCGTAGACTCTGCCCAATAACAACAGTTATCGAAGTGCCACAATGAAAGCTTTCGTATATTGTTTTGTGACCCTTTTGGCCTGTGCAGCGGCCTACGAAGTAGACCTCTTGACCGAGGAGCAGTGGAATCGTCTTATCGAGCGTAATCGTAAGTGAAACGAAGCCTAAACCAAAGATTAATTTAATCTTGGTGCATCTTTGCCTTGCTTAGCCGCGAAGCCCGATGAACATGGCTTGATACTGAACTCTCAGGCCAAGAAGGCGGTGAAGAATTTGATGGAGCATCTACCCTGTGGTTTTCCCGAGTACGGCATTCCTCCACTTGCGCCCTACACGAATGCTGATCTGAAAATTCATTTGGCTCAATCTGTTGTCGAGTGAGTGTAGCATCTGTACGCTTGTTGTAGAAGTTTTCCTGATTTGGTTTTTTGTCAGTGCCCTGGTTCAGTTTCTGCGCTTCCGTTTCGATGGCCTGGAGAACATGGAGATTAAGAAGCTAAAGGTCAGCTACACGTTTAGCAAGAAGGTTCAGTTCCATTTCAAGTTCAAGGAGCTGAAGATTAGCTCGCATATCCTGAACACCGATACGCTGATCGATCTGCTGCAGGAGTTGGGTCTATCGGTGCGCTATGAGGGCACCGGACCGCTGGGCTTCACACTGGAGGATCTGTCCATACAGGGCTCCTTCAAGTACAAGATGCCCCTCATCTTTGGTTCCATTAAGATTTATAATTTCGATTGTGTCGTTGCGCTCGGCGGCGTCACCTCTCACATTGGCGGCATTTTGGGCAACGGCAGGTTTAATGAGATGGTCAACGATATTATTGATTATGAGGTGCCCGCCCTTGTCAATGGACGCCAGAAGCAGATCAGCGATAGAATCGAATCCTACTTTGTGCCCTTGGTCAATGAGCGTCTCAAGGGTCATAAGGTCTGGTTCCTGTTGAAGCAGCTGGTCAACCTCAACAAGAAGTGCTCACCCACTCCGGCGCCCTGGTTGGCTGTACAGTAAGCAAAAGTAACCAAAGCAACCAATAAACCATGTGTACGCCTTCAACGAATTGAGTTTTAATTAGCTACGCGTAGCTCCCTAGATTATGCCTATCTGCAGGCATTATCTAGCTAAGGTCTTATCGTTTCTAAGGTGATCGATTGTGCGGCTATAAAAGCTGGCGGCCAAACAATTGGCCATTCAGTAGCAGGTTGACCAAAAGACTTTCAATATGCGTTTTCTATTAGTTTCGGCCTGCTTGGTGGCCATCTGCGCCGCGGGCACATTGCCCAAGCAACAGCCAAATCCGCTCGAGCAGCGTCTGCTGCAGTTCGCCAATGAGAATGGCGAGATTGAGCTTTTCGCGGAACCCGTGCAGGGTGTTGAGGGTGAGCCTAGAGTAAAGCCTTGCATAGCAATGAATTAATCTAACAAAAATCTCACCCATCAGTTGAACCAAGTTTTGTGGTCTCCTGGCAGGTGCGTCGCATGATCCGCAAACTGCAGAAGCAAATGCCCTGCGGCTGGCCCGATCTGGGCATTCCTCCATTGGCGCCGATTCGCGTTAGCGAGGCTGACCTGAATCTGAAACGCGGCATCTTCGAGACGATTACTCATGTGTTCCGTCTTAAGATCGCCGGTCTGGATGACTTCAAGATCAACAAATTCAAATTGAATATCATCACTTCGAAGATCACCTTCGATTTCCTGTTCAGTAACATTGATACGACCGTCCAGAAGTACGATACTGACACTTTGATCGATGCAATGCGTCAGTTGGGCTTGTCCGTGGAGTATGAGGGCGACGGCTCGGTGCTCTTCGATCTGATTAATTTGCGTGTCAGCGGAACCTTGAAATACAAGCTGCCAGTCCTGTGGGGATCTGCTAAGATTCTATCTCTGAAGACCAACATCGAGCTGGAAGCTGTGGATTCGGACATTAGCGGCTTCATGGGCAATGGCAAGATCAATCGTGCCGTCAATCGCCAGATTGAGAATCTGCTGGTCAAGGGCATCAATGAAAATCAGCAGGCCATTTCCGATACCATTGAGGATACGTTGGTGCCCCGCGTCAACAAAGTACTCAAGGGCAACGATTTCTGGACCCTGGTCGATTTGATTCTCTCCAGCAGCGATAACGAGAATGAGGATGATCCAATTGTTGTTGATTGTGTGCCACCAGCAGATCCCTGGGCTTAAATCACAGACATACTAGCATATCACAATTCAATTGCTCAATAAAGCTTAAAAAGCTCTCTTGCTATATTCGTGAATTTTTATTAAATTATAAAAGTATTAAATGAAGTGTTTCATTGGTGTGTTGTATACAACAATAAGTAAAGTATCTTCAACAGTTTAGATTGTTTTAGACAAGATCGTATCGATCTAAGACTATCATAGCTAGGAAAATAGTATGTAAGTTATCTTAATTAAGTAAATCCAAAGCTCGTATTCTTTCCACTGAGAAATTACTCTCGAAATTTTTCGTGAAGTTAATTTCATTGATAAAATAACTAAGTCGCAACACACTCTAAGAAACTTTTTGTATGTAACATCTTTGTGGTTCGTCTTGAGCACATCTTCCACATCTTCCATCCACATCTAACAGTATAGTCGTATTAGATCTAAGAGTTTATCAGAGCTAGGAAGGTAGTATGTAAGTTATCTTAATAAAGTATACCACAAGTTCGAACTTAACTGAGAAATTATAGATGATAATCCATTATCAAAGTAACTAAGTCGAAGTACACTTTTAGAAACTATTTTAAGTCACATCTCTGTGGTTCGTCTTGAGTTCTCTTCCAGCTAATTCTAAGCTGTTGAACCAGATCTGCCTACTTTTAGGCTGCTTTTCTCAGCAGAAACCCTTGCTATCAATACACTTAGCACCTGTACAAGCGTTCAATCTAATCTGCGACATGCACTTGAGTTCTTAATCTTCTTGTGGACACCTGTCAGCTCCCAACATATTCGGTTAGTTTCCTAAAAGTACTCAACATGCGCTGTTCGTATTTTGTACTTGCTGCTGTTCTCTGCTGCTCCTTGTGCGCCGGTCGTACGCTCTTCGATGATGAGCTACGTGAGTTCACTGAGTTTCTGCGTCTTCAGATGCATTGCGGTTATCCAGAGCGTGGCATACCCATCCTGGCTCCCGCTCAGTTGGCCTATAAAGAGCTAGATATCCACACGGATAGCCTTAGGTAAGCTCTCGAGCAGAACTTTGACATGCGCTCAATTCCCCTTTTCAATTGCAGTTGCAAAGGCAACTTTACGGATCTCTCTGTGGTGGGTCTGGATGGTTTCGAGTTCTTTCAGCTACAATGGAATAATATTTTTCACACCATCAAATTCGATGTGAGCTTTCCGAGCATACAGCTGAAGAGTGCCGCTTACAAGCTGGATCTTTTGGGTCGCATCTTTGGCGCCAACACCTCGTTGGGATGCAATGGTCGCTTCGATCTGGAGCTGATTAATCTGCGCGCCAATGGCAGCTTTGTGCTACGTCCCTCGGGTCTTACGAATGGTGTGCACATCACCAGCTGGAATGTCGACTGGCAGCTGGGCAAAACCATTTCCCAAACCACGGGCATTGGGGGCACTCAAATTGTTACCAAGTTTATAAATGCCATTATCCAAGATTTTCTCGAGCTGCTCATCAATGATAATCCACAAGAGGTGTCCCAGTTTATGGAGCAGTTGATTGCGCCGCCCATGAATACGGTGCTTGAGAATGTGGCCTGGTACGAGATAACAGCTATTATATTGGGCCTGGTCAAGGGCGTATTACCCTTAGAGCCTATTTGCTGATATCGGCAAGTTTCTCTCTTGTTTCGACTTATTTTTGTTTAATAAAGTGCTGAAGAACTGAAGCTTAGTTTGTGCAAAAGTAGGTTTGAAATGGGGGGTTTTCTTATATTGAAAACTTGTTCCACAAATCTGCCAAGGTATTTAGTTTTCGGCGTGCCGAATGTTATTTTATTTTTAAGTTTTTATCTTATCTTATTTTTTATTAAATTTCCTACGTAAGCTTAAAAAAGTATATTTAAATTCTTTCGAAATTTAAATCTTGGATTTAATTTTACTTAACTTCTAAAAAGTTTTGTGCATGCACTAATCAGTTTTCTATTCTCTCTTGCAGGTAAGCGCGATTAGTTTTTTATTAAAGCACACGTATGAGCTCTAGGTATGTATTGAGTAGACTTATCAATTTATTGCACACGATTTCGGTTCGCTCTAATCGTTTCGACCATAAATTATGGCCATAATACGAAAGCAAGCCGTATGGCTCAGAGCAGGGGTACACAAAAATCCATAATCGGATTTGGGAGAGTCGCCAGCGGGACATCTCAATGCTGGAGTTCTGGTCGAGAGTTCAAACCGATGCACGAGCCCCGGCACGCAGCAGGACAACAGCGGGTGGTCCGAATGGTTCAACACTTCCTCAACCTCAAAATCTGCAACCGGCTGGCATTTGTTTAGCACTCGAAACACCCGTTCAGCAGCAGCAGATGTTTTTTTTTTCTTCACTAGATATTTTACTTTTTCTCTCTCTCTCTCTTCCCTTTGCTCGTGATATCATTATTTGTTGTTAATTAGTGCAAAATAGAGAAAGTACAGAAGCGTTTGGCCTAAATGATTCACATGGCTCCGGTGTCCTTTCGATGCGAATTCGTTTTGGCTCATTTCATTTGCAATTTATGAGTCCTTTGCGGCGCACACCTTGCACACGTCTCGGACTTGTGGCTGTCATATATTGCCGAAAAAAGGAGCTGCCCGAGCGAATGTCCTTTCATGAGTACGTGCTCAGTTATCCTGCGGCGTTTGCATTGTCCACCGCGCAGTTTTACGATCTAACGAACAGCCTGCGCTTTGTTTATTATATCCCTTACGGCTGAGATTGCCGGAGTCCTTGTGCCCATTCACTTGGGCCGAAGCCTTGAACATTTGCACTACTTGGCTGCAAAGTTTTCGGCTTTCAGTTTTTCCTCTCTTTGTTCCTATGTCCATTTGTTGACATTTACGATGCTATTTTCCGAAAAGCCCTTAAATCATGACAGCCCTCGGTCAATACTTTCGCTCTTCTGTTTGCCGCCCTTTCAATTGCCTCGAGCCCAGCCAGTTTGGCCCAGTTTGATTAGCCTCGATTTTAGTGCTTAGACCACAAATGCGGCTGGTCTATGGCAGCATCTGTGCCGTTGACTTGGCACTCAGTATGACAAACGATTTTTATATATTTTCCTATATATCAGAGACTAAAGATCTTACCATATTTTGCACATTTTTTAGGGTACCATTGTTCGTATACCTTTGTAGAGGGTATTATAATTTTGTCATGAATTGTGTAACGCATAAAATAAAACATCTCCGACCCTATTCTAGAACATCATCATTGATATAGCCATGGCAGGGTGTTCGTCTGTCTGTATGAACTAGTTTCCATGCCTTAAAGAAGAGCGTTAACTGCCTGCGGTTATGTTATTTAAGCTCTTCTTTCATGTTACTTTCATTCTCAGGCCTGAGCCCAGTTAATTGAAGTCTTTTTATGCGACAACTTTTAGCTTACAGTTCGCAATTGCAAATATTTGCAAGCTTTTGCTTTTCATGCTTAAAGGCAACTGTGGGCCATTAAAGGAAGAGTACACACACTTATGAGCCATAAAAAGGGGATGCGCATAAGATTCAAAATTTATGACGAGCGGCACTTGAGCGCGGAATTGTTAAACACAGAAATTAAGATTCATTAACGGGCTCGAGAGGGAGCGGTTGGGTCTCCAACAATGACGTCTACTGCACATAAATCAAAAGTTTTGGCAAACACGAACAAGATCCTGGTACGTAGATGGGCTGAAATTGAGACCAGGCCATGGATACAGATGGTTCCGAATGGAACTTTTATCCTTTGCTAGCGGTTACCTAACAAATATTGTCGGTGCCTGTTTACTTAAAGATGTTTTTGTTATCCTTGTTGCGCATTAAATGAGTTTTAATTTGAAACGTAGTTGAGACTCCTTTTTTTTTGTGCGCATCAAGTCAACGGTGAAGGCAAACAGTAGGCGCAGGAATCGCGTTACATTTGAACTTATACCCTGTACCAGTTTGCCCAAAACGGGTATGCTGTTTTTATGTTAAGTGTATGTTACAGGCAGAAGCAAGCATTAAAAAAATAAATAAAAATATATCACGGAGGCATATAAGTCATCATATATCATATGCTAAGCTAGCTAATTCTTGTTTATCGAAATTTTAAAATCGATATTTATCGATTTTAGAAATTTTCGGTGTTGAGCATTTCTCTGAGTAAATAACAGCTAAGTATATCAAACTATATATATAGGCCTCGAGTATTTCACTTTTTGAATACACTTTCCTTGTTCAACTCTAAATTTAAGTCTTTCTAAATTTTTCTTATATATAAATTTTTAAAAAATAAATTTTGAGTGTCGTGTAAATTGTTTAATGATTGAAAAAATTTAATAAAATTTATAAACGAGAGAAATTTTCGTAGGCTGACAGTGCGTTTCAGAGCTATGTACAGGGTATTTCCAAGTCGCATACTTTCGAGTACTTGCTTTTTATTTTCCTTTACGTTGTAATTGAGCAGCGCAATTTACTCAAATCGCTTTCTATAGGTGCGTTGTCCTGTAAATGAACAGCAGCCGCGGCCAAGTATGCTAAAGGATGCCAAAGGATGCTGCTACGTTCTGTTTTTTTCAATTAAGGTTGACATGTGTCTGCTTCTGCTTCTGCTACTGCGTCGCCTTCCACTCAAATTTGTTGCCTTGCGACAAGTCAAGCTGAAAATTGCGCATTTGAGCTATGTCGGCTTTGCGCTTGGGTTAGGCAACAAAATTGATATCAGAAAAATCGGTTTCTTTCTGAGGGGGTTGCAAGTTGCGTCAGTTGTAACTTTCGCCTAACAGGATTACACTTAGACAAGCGCGCGTATCCTGGCACTTGCATCTTAAATATCCATGCAACTGCCATTACGAGCTCGCGTCTGGAAGTTCTGCCTTCGCTTCTTGATAGGCAGCTGCCGGGTTTGATTGCTTTTGATGGGGGGTATCAATCAATTTGATGCTCTGCTGCATGTTTTAATTGAGAAATTCCGTTGAGCCAGACAGCTGTAAAACAGTTTTTGATTGAGGTAGTTCTCTAGCCAAGCTTTGCCTAACTTTGCTGTGCGGCTTGCACTTAAAGAATAAATCAGTAAATTTGTGCTTAAATCGGGCATAAAATTGATGAAAAGCTAATCGTGAGGTTCCTTGGAGAATTGACTAAATTAGCTAACATAACCTTAAATTATAATCTTAAACGAAAAAAATTAAACAACGTTTTCTTAAAATTTCTCCATTAAAATGCTTTCATTTCAGTTTCGGCTAATTATCTCATACTGAGTTTTTCCCACTTTCAATATCACAAGGATTTGCTGAATTGAATTCACAGTTGTTATTCGATCAAATTTTATGAAAACACTACAAATTTTTAATTTTCTTGAATATATTTATTGTATATTCGTTGTCAATGTATAGAATTCTCAGTTGTTATTCGATCTCATTTTGCGAAATCAACAAGAACATAAAAAACGATGTGAGTTTTTCTCCATTTTCAATTTCGCATAGAGTTGATGACATGAATATTGTTTTTTACGTAATTTAAATAAATATTTAAAGAATTTAATTGACGCTCAAGTGAAAAATTAAAAAAAGAGAAAATAGTTATGTATAAATAGAGAATAAGTCTGGGAATAATTATGTTATTTTCAATTGAATTTTGTATTTTGCATGCCGAGAAATGTGTGTACAAAGTTTTCTTTTACATAGTTGGAGCCCACATTACCCGTTAATGAAGAGTCTAACGCCACATAATTATGCTGGTAGCTGGCAACGGCAACGGTTAACCAACCCGAGCCAATCTACAAGAGCCCACATGCATAAATGCATGACTGGCAGTCAATCGATCGATCAATCAATTCCTGTAATTACACTTCAATCGCAGCGGTTAAGCGCTATGCGGCTTGCAGAAGGCGCTCTGACAAACATTCCATATGACTTATTGGACTTTTGACAGCTGTCAAACCAGAGTTCTAGTAGCTGGAACACTTGCAGCTATGCCTCTCGCTGACGCTGACAAAGGCAAGGGCAGAGCTGCTTGCTAGCCATTAGCATGAAAAAAAGCCATGTCCTGTGTTATCCTTTAGCCACCACCATCACTATCGCTATCGGGACAGCTGTCTTAAGAAATGTGATGTGACACTTTTGTCAAATGTTTACACCTTTAACCCTTTGGTGGCCATTGTTGCAGCGGGCATCTGCATGGGATCAAGGGTTTACTCGATCTGTATCAAAACCAGGATCAGCAATTGTCGCCGAATTGTTGGCAATGTTTTGTTAATTTTATGTTTAATTAGTGGCATTTGTTTGGATTTGTTGGGCTTAACGGGGCTACACAAGCCCCTGTAAAAGGTTTATTTTGTGTGCTGAAATCTTTTTCTTGGGGGCAACTGCTTTGATTTTATTTTCTTGAACTTAAAGCGAGTAGCTTGATATTTTAAACCAGAATGTGTACTAAATATAATTATAAAATAAATTTAATAATACTTGCAGTAATCTCTTTTATATTTTTTATGGGATTTCCGCTAGCATCTATATTAGTTTCTTCCTTTGCAGAACTATCATAATTATTACCAGACTTTCCGCTACCAACCACAGCCAGATATAGTTATCAACGCCTGTCGGCGACTACAGCAACAAACCCAACTCAAATAATTCATCAAAATTATGTCAACTCATGCAAGCGGCTGTTAAATATATATATATAAAAAAAAAAAACAGTTCAAAATTAAAAAAAAAA